GGGCAAAGACCAGCCTGGTTTAGTTGAGTGTATGGCCTTTGGGCAAATTCCCAAGACCTTCAGTTGTCATTTCAGCTCCTCTACTCTGTTTCTTTTTATTGTCAGTAGATTATCGTTTACCTTAGCAGTCCTTGAACAGTTTCTAAGGAGCTGTGCCCACTGGAACATCACCCCAGCCCAGAACCAGGACAACTGAGGGAAGCCTCTTCCTCCCATCTCTTACCTATGACAGAGAAGGTGATGGTGAAGACAAAGCACTGCTCCCTGGTGTCAGGAAGAAAGTGAGGGAAGGCCAGAAGGGTGATGTTCACAATGAAGGCCAGAAAGAGGCCGCTGATCATGAAAATTCGACCAAATATGAAATAGTCTGCATTGGGGAGGGAGAGGGGAGAAAGGCCAGCAGCTCCCTATAGGGCCCCTCCTTCCTGGGTCTGAATCCCTAGAACACTAAGGAAGAAGTGCAGGGACTTTAAGGAAGGAACCAGCAGCAGCGGGTGGGAAACTTAGGGCTGGAGGGGAGCCAGGCTTCAAAAAAGGTCTAGGCCCGTGCTTTTGGCCGGGCTGGTAACCCTTTTGGCCTCATCCCCTTGCTCATCCTGAAAGGAGCCACTGTCACTGGGAAGCATATGACTGCTTTATCCATGTGAGCTGGGGCAGAAAAAGAGGCTGGTGATGACTGGAAGGGCTGGGGCAGGACCAGCAGGGCCCTCCCTTTCAAGGCCAGAACTTACATGATTTGGATAGCGGAGCCCAACATGTGATCTTGCCACTGCAGATTGCAAACAGAGCACTGAACAGGACTTGGGAGTTGTCTGGGATCTCTATCTTCACCCAGGTGGACAGGCTGAAGGCCCACCACAGAAGAGCAAAACCCAGGAGAGCGCAGGTAAGGATGAGACTGCGATAGGGCCTAGTTACCCCACACTTCATATAAAAGGGTGCTGACTAGAAAAAAGGGGGGCCGTGAGTGAGTTAAGTTCCCTCAGTTCCTTTGGGATTTCTCCCCATATAAGTCCAATCCTCCTGTCCTTTCTCATCCTCAGCTCACAGGCTCTCCCTCCTCCTCATCCCCTAAGCACATCCTCTCCAGGCCACAGGCTGACCTGGGTCCCTCACCAGCCAGGCCTGAAATCTTCCTCTTTGGTCTTCGCATCTTGTCTGAAACACTCCTCACACGTAATCATCCACAGCCCATATTGTTACTATGCTTTTCCCGCCTGTCCTGTCCCATCACCTAGATTAGATGTCCCTAGAAGATAAGAGCTCTGACTCCTTAATCTCCCACCACACTTAGCACCATCTTTACATGTAGGAGGAGCTCAGTGAATCTCTCTTAACAGAAAGGGGAAAAAATATAGCACATTCCAAGTATATTCCTCGGTGATGTCAAGAGAAGTAAATTTTGGATGCTCTGCAGTCTCAGCATGCCTCCTCCTTGTCATTCCCCTCAAATCACAGTCCTTGCTTTTCTCCTGCTGTTCATGATCCCAGCTAACCTTTTGTCTTATTTTTTTTTTGGTTCTTTCTGTTTCAGCTTCCATCTTTTGATTCCCTCTGTTTTCTATGGCGCCTTTTTACACAGAGGCCCATCCTGGCCTTCTCTTCAACCGTAGAATGTTGTGGTCCCTTCCTGTTCCATTGGCAGGAACATTTAGTGACATCATAAGTATGTGAACTCTGTCTCCCAACAAAAATGTGAGATCCTACTCTGTTGCCCCTGTTTTTTAAAAACGTCTCATGTCCATGCCCATCCACCCAGCAACGTCTTTGTTTTCCTTGGCACATGTGCGCTTCAAAAGTTACGGCCTGTGTCTTTAGCTCTCACTTCTAATACCTAATGAGCAGAAGAACCGTAGTCCTGTACAAGGCTGAAGGACACTTGAGAGAGAATACAGGATAATCAAGGAAATAACCGGGAAGATGTAAGTGGAAACCAATTTTATGTTAAGGGTACAGCGGGTCAAACTACACCCTTCACATCCTTGACTAGAATGATGCTAAAACATGTAATGCCTTCAGACCCCAACCTTATTGTCTAGCACACTGGTTAGCCAATGGTGAACACTTGGCATGCTTGTTGGTGAAAGAATTAACAAATAAATGAATAAAAATAGAGACAAAAAAGCAGAGGGTTGCTGAAAACCTCTGTTTAGACGTTTCTTAAATGTGGGCTGTGGGAAGGCAAGGATTAACTGTGTCTATTCTATTCACATATGTATTCTGAGCACCTACAACTTTGCCTGGCACAAGGCAGGTGTTACATAAATATTTGTGGAATGAATGAATGATCCAGGAGCAGTTTCCCCCAAATTACAATTTGTGTTGGGTATATACTATAGCCATGTATTTCCAGGGGTGACTAGGACGTTGGGGTGTGCAACAGTAGTGCATTGCCAGCTTAGCCCTATGGGTTTATGTGCTGATCAGTTGTACTGTTGAAAGAGGACAGCATGGTAATGCCATTGGCTGGGGAGACAAGCAATATTCATGGCAGGAAATCAGAGGTAACTCAACAAGGTCAAGATTGCTTTTGAAAACTGTGTGCACACAGAAACCAGCCAGGAGACTTAGGAAGAATAGAAATTTAAGGCAATATGTTTAAGTCTTGAGGTTGGTGGGAGCCCCGTATTTTCCCGAGCTTTGAATTGACCCAGGAAAACAAAGTAGATGGGCAAATAGATTTCTGCTGATGTCAAAAAAGGAATAAAGGGAGACTTAAATATATTTACAAGCAAACTCTTGACTATCAACATTGGTCACTTACTCTCTTATATATAACCTCTCAGTCCACACATTAAAAACATAATCATTCCACATTCACTTTAAGGCACATGCACCCTTAAGATGAGACAACTGTTTTTTGTTTAAAATGGCTTGGAAAAGGAATCAAGAAGCTAGAGACAGAGGACCTTTATTCAAATACTAGTTCTCACTTTTTGGTCAAGTAAATTCTTACAGTAAGAGATTACTGCTAAATTTGCTGAATGTGATAGTGGTACTGCACTTATATAAATAAAAGAAAGTGAAATAAAATAAAGAATTCTTATTTCTAAGACATACAAACTGAAGAATTTATGATATGCTAGCTCTAGGTTTTAGTTTAAGATAGTCCCTCCCCCACTCCAATC